AGGAGACGAAGAAGACGAAGAAACCGAATAGAAGACGCATGATACGAAAAGACGAAGAAGCGAAGAAGACGAAGAAGACAAGAAGACGAAGAGACGAAAGAAGACGAAGAAGACGAAGACGACGAAGAAGACGAAGGAAGACGAGAGAAGACGAAGACGACGAAGAAGACGAAATAAGACGAAAAAGACGAGAAGAAAGAGACGAAAGAAGACGAAGAAGACGAGAAGACGAAGAAGAAGAAGAAGACGAAGAAGACGAAAGAAGAAGAAGAGACGAAGAAGACGAAGAAGACGAAGAAGACGAAGAAGACGAAGAAGACGAAGAAGAAGAAGACGAAGAAGACGAAGAAGACGAAGAAGACGAAGAAGACGAAGAATACGAAGAAGACGAAGAAGACGAAGAAGACGAAGAAGACGAAGAAGACGAAGAAGACGAAGAAGACGAAGAAGACGAAGAAGACGAAGAAGACGAAGAAGACGAAGAAGACGAAGACGACGAAGAAGACGAAGAAGACGAAGAAGACGAAGAAGACGAAGACGAAGAAGACGAAGAAGAAGACGAAGACGAAGAAGACGAAGAAGACGAAGAAGACGAAGAAGACGAAGAAGACGAAGAAGACGAAGAAGACGAAGAAGACGAAGAAGACGAAGAAGACGAAGAAGACGAAGAAGACGAAGAAGACGAAGAAGACGAAGAAGACGAAGAAGACGAAGAAGACGAAGAAGACGAAGAAGACGAAGAAGACGAAGAAGACGAAGAAGACGAAGAAGACGAAGAAGACGAAGAAGACGAAGAAGACGAAAGAAGACGAAGAAGACGAAGAAGACGAAGAAGACGAAGAAGACGAAGAAGACGAAGAAGACGAAGAAGACGAAGAAGACGAAGAAGACGAAGAAGACGAAGAAGGACGAAGAAGACGAAGAAGACGAAGAAGACGAAGAAGAAGAAGAAGAAGAAGAAGAAGAAGAAGAAGAAGAAAGAAGAAGAAGAAAGAAGAAGAAGAAGAAGAAGAAGAAGAAGAAGAAGAAGAAGAAGAAGAAGAAGAAGAAGAAGAAGAAGAAGAAGAAGAAGAAGAAGAAGAAGAAGAAGAAGAAGAAGAAGAAGAAGAAGGAAGAAGAAGAAGAAGAAGAAGAAGAAGAAGAAGAAGAAGAAGAAGAAGAAGAAGAAGAAGAAGAAGAAGAAGAAGGAAGAAGAGAAGAAGAAGAAGAAGAAGAAGAAGAAGAAGAAGAAGAAGAAGAAGACGAAGAAAGAAGAAGAAGAAGAAGAGAAGAAGAAGAAGAAGAAGACGAAGAAGAAGAAGAAGAAGAAGAAGAAGAAGAAGAAGAAGAAGAAGAAGAAGAAGAAGAAGAAGAAGAAGAAGAAGAAGAAGAAGAAGAAGAAGAAGAAGAAGAAGAAGAAGAAGAAGAAAAGAAGAAGAAGAAGAAGAAGAAGAAAGAAGAAGAAGAAGAAGAAGAAGAAGAAGAAGAAGAAGAAAGAAGAAGAAGAAGAAGAAGAAGAAGAAGAAGAAGAAGAAGAAGAGAAGAAGAAGAAGAAGAAGAAGAAGAAGAAGAAGAAGAAGAGAAGAAGAAGAAGAAGAAGAAGAAGAAGAGAAGAAGAAGAAGAAGAAGAAGAAGAAGAAGAAGAAGAAGAAGAAGAATAAGAAGAGAAGAAGAAGAAGAAAAGAAGAAGAAGAAGAAGAAGATAGAAGAAGAAGAAGAAGAAAGAAGAAGAAGAAGAAGAAGAAGAAGAAGAAGAAGAAGAAGAAGAAGAAGAAGAAGAAGAAGAAGAAGAAGAAGAAGAAGAAGAAGAAGAAGAAGAAGAAGAAACAAAGGGAAAGTGAGGATGAAGAGAGCGTAAAGCAGTCGTACTGTGATAAATAATCGATCACTTTGTTTTCTTTGGGATGACTACAATTTTCCTACTATTAGATTTTTTTAAAAATGCATTCTTGTAGACAGACCACCAGAGAATACCATAGATACCCCATTCAACAACAACAACAAAATGTGAAAAGAGTAACTTCATTGCAATCAAACCATATGGAAAAATAAATGTGTCTCTCAAAATACAAAAATGTATAATTAAACATTTGACCAGTAAGAATTATAGCCTATTTTCCGCTAGCTCTATATCCACAGTCGCCTCTGTGGCTAAGTCGATGCCAACGCTTCGTAATGCCGGGGTGCCGGGTTCGATCCCAGCTGCGGGCCATGCGCTTTGTCTTGGTTTTGACAGTGGTATCAAGAAAGCCGACCGTCCAGAAGGAATGGCAAACTACTAGACGTAAATTTGCCTAGAAAAACCACACAACAACCAAGGTCTGTTGTGGTTGGTTCTGCAACGTTCTGTAAAGGATACGCAACTAACCTATATCCACATCATTTTCGATTGCATACTGATTTTGGTGTAATCCGTTTATAAATTTACAGACATGAAAAGACTTCAATATTTTGGAAACCAACAAGTTCCCCCCCCCCCCCCCCCCACTTATGAAGAATATCGATTGTATTTCCCCTGTCGTACACTAACTGTTATGTAGCTTTCTCTTATAGGGCATCTTTTAGTACAACATGACATGCAATACCGTGGACGATTCTGGACTGCAGCAAATCTAAAATGTTAATGGCAACCAAAAGAACATTGCTGTTTTGGTAGATAGAGTCTTTTCTATGTTTGTATGTTTGTTAACTGATCTTGGTCATATTTTTTTAAATGACAAATTCCTAATCCCAGGTGGAGTGTGTAGGTTTGTGTTTGAGTTATGGCATCATGGAATACAGTAGAATATCGCTGACAGCTCTTCATTTCAGCCGCTCAGGACTCCATGTTACACCTGGTGGTGTGACTGGTATTGATGCTCTAGTTATCCTTCTTTGGAGGCTGAACTGGGTGTCTGGCTTAATCTCCAGATTATGATGTAATCTCAGGGTGGTCAAATTACTGGTAGTTTTTTTTTAGTGCTACTGATGAAGGCATTTTGTGGTGAGTACCAGCAGCTTTTATAGAAACTTTGTGATCGGTACCGGCACCTTTCTTGTTCTAAGGCAGTACGGAGATCGCCGCCCAGTGGCTCTCTCATTGTTCGAAGAAATAAAGCCAACATTTAATTCGTGGTCAGACACACAGCCTTTAATTTACCATACAACTTTTAGCTGGCTACTGAAGAGGGAGACTGAGCAAATATGGCACTGGCCTGAGGGCATTGATTTCAGTTCTTGATTGATTTACTCATGCCTATGCCATATTGCCATTTTATAGGCCATGTTTCCATTTCTTTTGTTAGCCAATGCTGAAAAATAATGTCTTTATGTTTACCCTATGCCAGGAAGCAAACAGTGGCCACACCCGGCAGAAACTCTGTTGAATGCCCATATTTCCTACACAGTCAAAGTGAGTTATGTCTTTTTATTTCATACTATTGCCAGTATTTTGTAGGAATGTAATTGATTCTCTTGTCAGTAGATTAGTAATGCATTTAACACCATTTTCTGTAAATATATCTATGAGAAGAGGGAACATGGAACATGTTGTGACCACTGGAAAGATCTGCGGAAGGAGGGATAGAGGAAGACAACGAGAGAAGATTCTTGACAGTCTTGTTGCATGGCATGAAGGTGTGTCAGCACACGACCTGATACATGCTGCAAGTGATCGCAGATTGTGGAGAGGCATCATTGCCCTGCGCCAGTCGGCAGGGCACCTGATGATGATGATAATATCTAGTAAACTTCTATTGTCAGTATTTTGTGCGGAATGTAAGTGATTCTCTTTTTTCGTAGATTGGTAATGCATTTAACACCATGTTTGGTAAAAATATTTATGCGTGTCTTTCTATACAAGCAAAACCACACGACCAAATCCGTCACAATCGAAAGACACTTTACTGTCTCCTCCACAGTTTCTCGGAGAATGTGCAGTGGACCAACCCAAAGGCATCGATGTTGTCAGGGACGCTATCAGGAAAATGAAGGTGATGATATCTGCTGGAAATATTTCCATAACTTGCTTCCATTATTACTAACAACACACCAAGCAACGCGTCATGCGTTTATTGTTAGCTCTAAGTAATCGATGTTTTTATAGCTTTCAAATCTACCTAGTTGTTACACTAGCAGTCTCATCCACAGTGATGCCTTAGCTTATTCTCTCTCACAATATTCTTGTTGTTGTTGGTCTCATCCTCCACCACCACCTTTCCCTCCATGTCCTCCTACTTATGCTGCTGCGGCTGCAGCTTTTGCAGTTGCTGCTACTGATTGTGAGGCTGCTGCTACACCTCAATCACGGTTGGTACACCAGTCCCCGACTAGCTCAAGCCAGCCTGTTTTATATCAAATGCCAATAGGCTTAAGGATTTGTTATAAAAAGTAAAGGACCCCCTTCAACGCCTCGATGTGTATTGGGCATATAGGGCTAGGCATATATTTTATAGACCCGCAGCGGGTGATGTGGTCAGCATAGCGAATGTCACTTTTACTTCCTAAGACTTTACTTAGTACTCACTAAATGCTAGGGCAACCTGTGAGCCGAAATCATTTTTGAAAAATGCATGGTTGCTTTCGGACTCGAACCCCTGACCTTTGGATTCACAGGCAAGCGACTAGCCGCTACACCACGGCGACTCCCTGTAATGAGAAGAAAAAAAACTCTACAAAATAGAAGACGACGAAGAAGAAGAAGAAGAAAATGAAGAAGAAGAAGAAGAAAAAGAAGAAGAAGAAGAAGAAGAAGAAAAAGAAGAAAAAGAAGAAGAAGAAGAAGAAGAAGAAGAAGAAGAAGAAGAAGAAGAAGAAGAAGAAGAAGAAGAAGAAGAAGAAGAAGAAGAAGAAAAAGAAGAAGAAAAAGAAGAAGAAGAGAAGAAGAAGAAGAAGAAGAAGAAGAAGAAGAAGAAGAAGAAGAAGAAGAAGAAGAAGAAGAAAAAGAAGAAGAAAAAGAATAAAAAGAACCTTGTGTAGATGGCACCTGATTGGGTGAATCTGCTCATTATTATGTATTAAAATTTTCTGTAGACTCAACATTATTGTCTTGAACCGCCTGCTGTTTTTCCTTTTAATGAGATCAAAACATCGTATAGATTTCTCTTCATTCAACAGCTTTTGCCTTATACTGAATTGCTTTCTAATGTTCCTGGGCTTTTGTCTTAGCTAAGAAACTGGACCAAATTTACCGAAGCCCCACAGTTCAAAATCCTGTTTGATGCTCCATTGTTTCAGTGAAGACCTTGTGTCATTTCAATTGTGAAATGTTTCATGCACACATCTTTTGATAAACTTCAACTTCTGTTTCTATATTTGCTTAGAGCTTAGACAATAGTAAATGTTTATTCTTGTTGAATGTGCACTTGACGCATCGATTACTCGTGTAATGTCTTACATTAAACTAGTTTGTCCATATTATTACTGCTTTTTGATTTAAGAATCGACACCGTAGCCAGGGCCAGATTTAGACTCAATGAGGCCCTGAGGTATGTGAAGCCATGAGGCCCTGTCGTTTTAAGTTACAACAGCTAATCTTAGACAATTTAAAAGAACACGTCTTTATATATAGATGTGATAGCGGGGATAAAGGAGGGAAACAAGAAGAAAGGGAGAGAAATAAGAACATTGTGATTAGACAAAAGTCATAGTAGTTCCCCGCTAAACAACAAAAACAGAAAAGTACAGAAAAGACAGGGGTTCTTCTCCGCAGAGATCCCAGATATTTCACCGAGACCCTAACTATGGATATCTGTATAATAACGTTACATGACGTCGACCTAACTACATGGGTACACACACCTAGACAACCACGGACTACAGATCCTAAATTAAGTCAAGCAAATGAATTATGATCACATTAAACAGTTTATTATACTCAACATTACATCAGCGTGGTCAACAAATAACGACATTAAGGACGACAAACTGCTGGAACAAAATCTCAGATATATAGCGATCTACCATCCAACTATCTCTTAGCAAGAATACAAATGAAGATATATTTTAAAACCATCTAACCAACTGACGTACCGTGATCTGAGCCAATCTAGCGTCGCTCAGCTAGTCCGGTCTGACGCACCTGTGCATTGCGACCAAGTGCAGTCGACAACGACAACAGAGCTCTTGACCGTAGCAAGCCGGAGTGACAACCAGATATAAGAAGGCCAAATAATTGACTGACTGACTGACTTTCTACCCCACCAGGACATCACACAAGCGATAAACACCCGATGACACAAAGTGCCACCATGCGGATGAGGATCACCGTGGAGAGGTCCCAGAAACCGCGTTCAGACACTTGGCCATATTGATGGCCTGCCTATATTGCGGCCCCTGGCAAAAGCCAGAGTGGGGCTTCAAATAACAAAAAATTACGTCCTAAGAAGGACGTAAAGGTTATAGTACGTACAGGCCAAATAATTGTCAGTCGGCCGTTTAAATACCTCAGTGGCCAGATTTTTACCGTGTTACCGTCTAACACTAATAAATGGTAATGTTTCTTATTTTTCCTGTTGGCTATTTTCAAACCAGAATAAATTCAAGATCTTCAGGCTGCTGAACCGTATGTTTCCAGCCTGTTTTATATATATATATATATATATATATATATATATATATATATATATATATATATATATATATATATATATATATATATATATATATGTGTGTGTGTGTGTGTGTGTGTGTGTGTGTGTGTGTGTGTCTTCTAAAAGTGCTCTATTTTAAGAAAATTGTATTTAAAATACATTTTAAAATATTGCACTTGTGAACCAACAAAGAAAAAAAAAAAGGGAATTTGTTGAGGCTGGTACAGGTTGTGATGCCCTACACTCTAGCTAACTTGGTTTATACAGCAATCCAGGACTGATGACAGCACACCGGGTATACCCGCAGACAATGTCTGACGGTACTGATGGTAAATGTTGCCGAAGTTACTCACTTAATTCCTCTTATAAAGTCCCTTCCTGCTGGACCCTCTCCTAATTCTACGATTACACATTGTTAAACATGTTATTTCATATAACATCCTGTTGATTTATAGAAATGGCGTATACACACCGAAACCTACCAATCAAATACCTTTTTTAAATGTTTGTGTATTCTAGACAAAGCAATAAGGTCTACTGTGTTCGTAAATTGTTGCTGTGATTGTTATTCGAGATTAGCTTCGTTAATATAAATTTCTGTAACCTATGGTGCCATTTCAATGGGTTGAAATGAATTCTGTCCGTATTCCATAGTCGTGGATTTCAAACTGTACGATAGACATGGCCAATAAGACACCTTTTTTGGGGGGATGCCTAGTTGACCATGTATCTTAGTGCACTTGTATTCATGGCGAGGCGCAGACGCCGTCTGGAGGTGACAGGTTCAATTCCCGGCACGGTAACAATAGCTTTCGAATTGTATTTTGTCTAGTGTGTTTTTCTATCTTTCTACTTCTTTCTATGAGTGCCGATCAATACACTTTCTGTTACTTCATTAATTCATGTCTTCTATTAGCATTTGTTCATAAATGGTCTTCCGAATGTCTCCTTTCTCCAGCACGAGTGTTCCCGTAGTTATCACATTTATTGCCACACAATCCGGTCTATAATTCCCTCGCACTCCTGCATGTCCAGGACAGTGTATTCAAGTGAGTTTCTGTATTAATAACGTACTGATGCTTGGTATCCACTCATGCCACATTTGTCCATTTCAAACTATCCGTCGGAGAATAAGACATTGGAACCATATTGTCTGCTGTCTACTTCAGAGTAAAGTGCTTGCCTCTGCCTCCATGCTCAAGCTTTAAACTGTAGATATAAACGCACACTTTTGTTTTGCCACGATCTTTCCCTTCAGTGTTGCTGAACACCTGCACCCAGATGTTACACTCCGATAAACAAACCCATCCAACTATTGCGTCATCTGCGCCAGCGTTTTCGTCAATTAGTTGTTGTACCTATTTATGCCATGACATTACGCCGTGAGCTTTTCAGCTGTTATATTGGAATTGTGAAGAAAGACGCTAGGGTAAGATAGGACACACATTAATAAAACCGGAGAGCAATATAACTAGAATGACATTGCACTGGAACCCACAGGGGCATAGGAATAAAGGAAGGCCAAAAGTACATGTAGAAGAGAGCTAGACAATGAAGTTAGAAAGATGGAGAGAACATGGAGAGAGCTGCATGCGTTAGCAAATATAGAACGACTTGGCGTGAGTTGGTTGAGTGCCTATGCTCCATTTGGGGCTAGAAAGGCAGAAGAAGACCGAGAGTGTAACAACGGGTCTCTGTTGTTTCAGTTCAGCAAGCACCTCAAGAGGGCCGAGGGACAGAAGCCGCCCAAAGTTGATCTGGTCATCTCGGCAGATGCAGTTTCTATCTTAGACCCAAAGACAAAAGTAAGACCTTGTGTGTGTTCAGCTTGACTGTTTCATCATACAACCAAATTCAACCTACTCCTCTGAACTTAAAATAGCCTTTCAGGTGTCCAAAACAAATGTCACTGTCGAAATCATCCCCATTATCATTATTATCGGTCATATTTAACATCATCATTTCCATCATCACTATCAACATCATCAAGAGCCTTGTCAGTGGGCGTAGGCTCTATGTTGATCAGGGTCTCTTTATGGATGATACTCTCAATGACACTGCCTTAGACGAGCTCTGCGTCTCTCTGTCTACTTCTTCTACTCACATCAGTCCTTTCCTCCGATATTCGCCAATTCATCTCATTACTCTACATGAAAAGACAGCCCTATCTCTATTTCACACTTGCGTGCAATGGTCTACTTGGTTTTGCTTTTTTCTTTGTTTTTTATAGAAATCGCCGTTAATTGCATTTTCACAACATGCTTGTTAGTGGGTCAGTGGTCGCCACCCGCCCCCGCCCCCTCCCCGTATTCCTTTTCTGCTAAAGATCCTGAAAATATGTACAACTCTTTATATTCTAGAATTCATTTGTTGAATACAAACCGGGGGGGGGGGGGGGGGGGGGGGGGAAGCGGGGGGAAAAGGGGGAGGGGGCGGTCTTCATAATTTTCTAAAGATGGCAGGTCTCAGATCTTGTTTACGAGCTCAGTGATAATGAGTATGTGAATTATTGTTATTTGATAATGAGTATGTGAACTATTGTTATTTGATAATGAGTATGTGAACTATTGTTATTTGATAATGAGTATGTGAATTATTGTTATTTGATAATGAGTATGTGAACTATTGTTATTTCATAATGAGTATGTGAACTATTGTTATTTGATAATGAGTATGTGAACTATTGTTATTTGATAATGAGTGTGTGAACTATTGTTATTTGATAATGAGTGTGTGAATTATTGTTATTTGATAATGAGTGTGTGAACTATTGTTTTTTGATAATGAGTGTGGGAACTATTGTTATTTGATAATGAGTATGTGAATTATTGTTATTTGATAATGAGTATGTGAACTATTGTTATTTGATAATGAGTATGTGAACTATTGTTATTTGATAATGAGTATGTGAACTATTGTTTTTTGATAATGAGTGTGTGAACTATTGTTATTTGATAATGAGTGTGTGAACTACTGTTATTTGATAATGAGTGTGTGAACTATTGTTATTATTATGTTATGAACGCCCCCCCCCCCCCTCTCCCCCCCCCCCACCCATCGACAAAAAATTTGAAGTAAATTAAAATTTTTACACAAATACTTTAAATAAGAACCTTGTCAATCTCTAAAATTATTTCAGATGTCAGAGGGGTCATAAACCCTCAGTTGTGAACACCCCAACCCCTTTCCCCCTTTGTGGATGCACGAACCCTAAGTTTTTGGCGCCCATGTGGATGCATGAACCCTAAGTTTTTGGCTCCCGTTTGGATGCATGAACCCTAAGTTTTTGGTGCCCGTGTGGATGCACGAACCCTATGTTTTTGGTGCCCGTGTGGATGCATGAACCCTAAGTTTTTGGCGCCCATGTGGATGCATGAACCCTAAGTTTTTGGCGCCCGTGTGGATGCATGAACCCTAAGTTTTTGGCGCCCATGTGGATGCATGAACCCTAAGTTTTTGGCGCCCATGTGGATGCATGAACCCTAAGTTTTTAGTGCCCGTGTGGATGCATGAACCCTAAGTTTTTGGCGCCCATGTCTAAACGCATGAACTTCGGTGCCTGTGTGGATGCATGAACCATCAGGATTTGGTGCCCGTAAGGATGCATGAACCCTAAGTTTTTGCCGCCCGTGTGGATGCATGAACCCTAAGTTTTTGCCGCCCGTGTGGATGCATGAACCCTAAGATTTGCCGCCCGTGTGGATGTATGAACCCTTAGGTTTTGGCGCCCGTGTGGATGCATGAACGCTAAGTTTTTGGCCCCTATGTCTAAACGCATGAAGACTACAGTTTTGGCGCCCATATGTAAATTACAACATGTTCTACTTTCTACTGACGAACTGTCCAGCTGATCCTGTACCAGTACCCACTACATCTGATCTCGTACTGTGCAGACGACAAGTGCGACAAGCAAATGTTTACATTCATTGCCAAAGAAGTCAGTGGGCAGAGGCACTTTTGCTATGTTTTTGACAGTGATAAATGTGTAAGTTGCTTGTTGAATCTCTCTCTTTCTCTATCTCTCTCTCTTTCTCTATCTCTCTCTCTTTCTCTATCTCTCTCTATCTATCTATCTATCTATCTATCTATCTATCTATCTATCTATCTATCTATCTATCTATCTATCTATCTATCTATCTATCTATCTATCTATCTATCTATCTATCTATCTATCTATCTATCTATCTATCTATCTATCTATCTATCTATCTATCTATCTATCTATCTATCTATCTATCTATCTATCTATCTATCTATCTATCTATCTATCTATCTATCTATCTATCTATCTGTCTGTCTGTCTGTCTGTCTGTCTGTCTGTCTGTCTGTCTGTCTGTCTGTCTGTCTGTCTGTCTGTCTGTCTGTCTGTCTGTCTGTCTGTCTGTCTGTCTGTCTGTCTGTCTGTCTGTCTGTCTGTCTGTCTGTCTGTCTGTCTGTCTGTCTGTCTGTCTGTCTGTCTGTCTGTCTGTCTGTCTGTCTGTCTGTCTGTCTGTCTGTCTGTCTGTCTGTCTGTCTGTCTGTCTGTCTGTCTGTCTGTCTGTCTGTCTGTCTGTCTGTCTGTCTGTCTGTCTGTCTGTCTGTCTGTCTGTCTGTCTGTCTGTCTGTCTGTCTGTCTGTCTGTCTGTCTGTCTGTCTGTCTGTCTGTCTGTCTGTCTGTCTGTCTGTCTGTCTGTCTGTCTGTCTATATTCCAATCTGCTCTGCTCTGTACTTCATTGCCTGCTGACATCTGTGTTATATGTGAAAACCATTTCACCTGTTATCTTCTAAAAAAATACAGAGCCCCCCCCCCCCCCCCCCCCGCGGCCATTCTCCTTCGGATTTCAACCTTCATGATCTTATTTCTTACTGTTTTATTGAGAGCTTTTCATATGAATTGCATTTTAGTTGTCGTATATAAATGTGTGTGTGTGTGTGTGTGTGTGTGAGTATATATATATATACACACACACACACACAGAGATACACTAGCTGTACCCAGCCACGCGTTGCTGTGGCTCAGTCTGGCCTAATCGACAAGAAAGAAAACAAAATTCGCACGTGTCTAATATCACAATCATTGTTTTGCTCAGATATAGAGATAGTCTGGTTTGCCGACTCTAGAACACCGCATATAATTGTGTCTTTCTATTAATGGTCGTTAAAATTGTATTATTAGGACTTTAAACAATGGTTATTTGTTTATCATATGCTAAAGCTTCTTTTTTTTTTTTTTTTTTTTTTTAACACAGCCGAAAATAAAGCTTACTACTGTACTTCTAAATGACCAACAACTTCGCAATAAACAAAACAAAACAAAATTGCCTACAACCTGTGACAGGAACGAGGCAACTCTGTCCATTGCCCTTCCGCTTCTGTTTTATGTCCAAGTGACAGGGCTGTCTGTGGTGCACGATCTGGTGGAGGTCTTGAGATATGTGCGAACCATTTTATCTGTTGTTTCTTGATGTAGTGTAGTACTGGTTCGGTCCTAACTCGTTTCTTGATATCGTCAATTTTGATCCTGTCTTTTCTAGTTACATTTATTGAGGATGTTGTTGTTATCGTTATCGTTGTTGTTAGTATTAAAACGAAGATTTCTGTCAAGAATTTCATTCCTGGGATTTACAATTCCACCTTATAGAATCTGTTTCTATGAAACAAAGAATTTGTTACTGAACACAACATTATTACAGATGATTTTTTTTTTAGTATCCAGAAGCCATGAGTTGTTAACCCTTAGGCTCGGTATTGTGGATATCGCAACCCTTCGGCCTTGATTTCATGATAGGTACCGTAAATCTGGGAGAAAAGTGGCTTTTCTGCCTACCCCCGGGCGTGAACCCGGACCACAAGGATTTTGTCACCCGGTCACCGCGCAGTCCGATTTAGCCAACTGCGCTAGCGAGCCGTGCATTACAGATGATAAAAGTTGGGAGTCGAGAGAAACCATTTAAAAGAACCAGGTTTTATCCCGTATGGCTCGGTCTCTCTCCGTAGAACGGCTGGCTGCCTGCTGATAGCTTTGCACAGATCACGAGCTCCGTAGCCTAGGCAACGATCTCAAGTATTTCCGCAAAAATTGCACCCGTGAACCAAACGACGCAGCCGTGAAAAGAACCCACGACCTTATGAGTGCGAGGGGAACGGCTTGACCACTCCGCCACGTAGACCATAGATGATAGTTTGAATATAGACTGTATGTTAACAAACAATTGACGTTGTTGTAATGGAAACATCTACACAGGCTGAAGAAATCACACTGACGATAGGGCAGGCGTTCGACCTGGCATACAAGCGCTTCACGGAGACATCTGCACTCAACGACGACATTCGCAAACAGTTCTTCGTTCTACAAAGAAAGGTAACATTCAGTTAACAAACACACACTGATAAACATTAGGCTCTAATTAGCTGTTGCTGTCATTAGCAGAAACTATCATTGTATCAATGGGCGAGTGCTGGATTTCATGCTTTGTACAATGTCCTAGGTAGGTTCAAACATTGCCATGTTCTGTCGAAAGACTACTGCTACTGTTTCTTTTTCTTCTTCTTTCCTTTCGTCATCCTCTTCCTTTCTCTTCTTCATATGCACATTGTCTGCAGTAAGAACTTTATGATTTTATTTCTTACAGTCAACGAAACTGTCCATAAACGCAGTAAAATATATTATTGTTGGTAACTTTCCCTTACGTCCCTACACAACTGAACAGTTTCTTACATTGTTGCCTCCCTTATTGACAGATGACAGAGTTGCATGCCTTTAGCATAAGTTGCCATGAAAGTTTACAGCGAGAAGACAACACGCCCAGTTCTCTCTTAGACTGTCAGGTATGTACAAGACATCAGTTGGGCTCCAGTGTAGGTGTATTTTTCTTCCTCTTCTGTCCATGTTTAGCTTTCTATAACACCATTGTGTTACAATATCTTTAGTCAGACTGTCACAGCCTCAGATCTTTTATGTAGACATGCACGTTCATCAGAAAAATCTTTTCATCCCCTTGTGGAATGACATTTTTCGTTATTTGAAGCCCTACTCTGCCTTTTGCCAGGGGCTGCAATATAGCCCGGCCATAAATATGGTCCAAAGGCTGAACGCGGTTTCTAGGACCTCTCCACGGTGATCCTCATCCGCATGGTGGCACTTTGTGTCAGCGGGTGTTTATCGCTTCAGTGATGTCCTGGTGAGGTAAAAGTAGAGAGATAGATAGACATGCACGCCTATATTATCAATATCTGTCGTCTCAATGTGGGAAGCAATTCTTCGTTATTTTAAAGCCCTACCCCAGCTGTAGTCGTTGGCCCTAATATAACCTAACGGTTGAACGGGGTTTCTGGGACCCCTTCCTAGGTTATCCTCACCCGCATGGTGGCACTTTGCGTCATCGGGTGTTTATCGCTTAGTGGATGTCCTGGCGAGGTTGAGTCTCATTCATATACACGTCTAAAGCCCACCATGCTTTCTCATAAACTTATTTCTTTTCTGCTTCGTCTTCTTGGCGTTCACCGCAAAACCCCTAAACTTGTCGACACTTACGACATGCTTTTTAGGAAAGCAGTGGGGTTATGTTTTCCCCCTCCGTAGCGGGTTCCTGCAACCTTTACGGGTTCTATACAATGCCCTATAGGCTTACACAGGGCATTTTAAAACACACCTTCCCCCCCCCCCCTCCCCCACAAGAACATTTGCAACGGGATTAACTGTCCCTCATAACCATGTAGGGAATATTTCTTTTTTAATCTCGGTTTATACATTTCGTTTCTTCTTCTTCTTTTCTTCTTCTTCTTTTTCTTCTTCTTCTTCTTCTTCTTCTTCTTCTTCTTCTTCTTCTTCTTCTTCTTCTTCTTCTTCTTCTTCTTCTTCTTCTTCTTTTTCTTCTTCTTCTTCTTCTTCTTCTTCTGCTGCTGCTGCTGCTGGTGCTGCTTCTGCTACTTCCTCTTCTTTCTTTCTTTCTTTCTTTCTTTCTTTCTTTCTTCCTTTCTTTCTTCCTTTCTTTCTTTCTTTTCTCCTTCCAATCATGCTGCTGCTGCTTCTTAGCGTTTACAGGGTGTAATTTCCAGCTAAAAATGTTGTAGTTCGTCCATTTCTGGACTTTAGACGAGCTTGAGTTTTGCGTGCACATCCGTTTTAAAAGATCTGGCTTATTTGTATGCAGACTGTTGGTTCTCTGCCCTCAGGCAGATGTATTACGACTTTGACACCCTAATCAGTCGCCTCCTAAAATGTGTTTATGGAGAGCTGTGCATCTAATCTTTGTTCTCCAAAATAGAGCTCCGGTAACAATACAGAAAGGGAATAGGGCCGAAGGCAAACAAAATAAAAGGCATTAGAACACTGTCTACTTCTTTGTTGACACCAATCGGGAGGCTGCCTCTCAAGACCGAAATGCATGACGTGCAGCTCTACACAAGGGCGCGGCTACACGTGAAGCAACCAAAACAGCAAGACTGATTAAGTAAAGGATGTACAGAAAGGTGACTGCAGGAGATCCCCTCACTGGCACAACGCTCATTCCCTGTCCTCACTGTCCAAGAACTTTTTGGGTCTGCATCGGCCTTATCAGTCATCTTAGTACTCATACTTGATGAAAAAGAGTGGTTATCATCATCTTGATGGACAACACACACACTTGTGTGTTTGCAATATATGTCAGGTACCCATTTAACTGTACGTTTGTCAAAGATCTGTTCAAGTTGTCAAACAATAGACATAGAGTAAACTCATTCTTTCATAGTCTTCTGTTTGGTATTTGTTTCGATTGATTTGATTTGATTCAAGAACCGACATCACAGCACTTGGGGCATTCCCATAAGCGCTCCGTCCCCATCTTCAGCAGCCAGTGAAGAGTTTCGATACTAATGGTGCCAGTAGCCTTCTGATTAAACGTCCCTCTTGCCTTTCCTCTGAGTCTCGAGCTTCTGCCAGAACCTCTCGTCACCCCCAACTGCATCAATCTCACCAGACTGTGGTGATCCATCTGCTCCTCCGAATTGTACACGCTTTCCCACAAGACATTAACCACATCTGCCCTATCATGTATCAGTATTCCACCAAGTTGTGCAGAGCCAGCCAGTCTGTCCGTCTGTTCATTTCCTAACACATCGGCGTGACCCGGTGAAAAAATCCAGACAATACTCCTCACTCGTGTCCTCTGCAGCGAAGCATGCCACTCTGCACGAAGCATACCTGTTCTGATCTTCCTCAGCATGCTTTCTGAATCAGTTACAATTTCTGTTTGGTATCAAAACATGTAACACCAGTCACATTGTTTTAACTTTGTTTTAACTTAGTCCTGCACTCACTTTTAACGTCACAGAGTTTTCCATCATGTTTTCTGCCATCTCTGGCTGATACATTTTCATAAGCCGTTTCTTCTGTCTGCAGTACCCCATCGAATCAACTTTGGCTGGGAGGAGACACGACGCTGTGGATCTCCACAACGGCAAACAAAACTCACATGCTCAAAACAGAAATGGAGGTCAAACAATGGGATCTCCCGTTCCGGTCATCGCCACGCCCATACGTAAGGTTCATGTCCTTGTTTCAGTGTGCATATCCTTTAAATCAGCGGTTCTTAACTTGTTGGTCGCGACCCTATAATGGGTCGAACGAGCCGTTCACAGGGGTCACCAAAGACCATCGCGAAACACATATTCGTTAAAGTTATGAAGTAGCAAATAAATAATTGTATAGTTGAGGGTCGGCACAACATGAAGAACCGTATTAAAGGGAAGTTTGAGAACCCCTGCTTTACAGGATAATACAGAACCAACGGCTGCATTGTGTTGTTGTTGCTGCTGCTGCCGTGTGACATATACTGCGACAGATAATAACCAGACAAGGAAAAGAGAACAACTCCGGCAACATACCAATACATAGTGTTAAAATCAAACAAAGGGAAAAATATAAGTACTTGGATGCGAAATTCAACTCTTTCAACATGCTAAGGGAATAGAAAACAATCTAGAATGCAATCTGGAAATAGAGTATACTATGCTGTTCAACATCTGCTGAAGTAAACGTCTATGTCTCGCAACACCAAGATCGGAATATTCGAAACAGTAATAAGACCATTTATTTTATATGGCTCTGAAACTTGGAGCACAACTAAAAGAGATGAAGCCTTATCATAAATTTGTGAAGTCAGACTCTTACGATGAATCTTTTAACCCTTGAAACATGCAAACAGCGGCGAATGGAGAGTGAGAAGCAACAATGAAGTTCCAAATTGTTCTAAATCACCATTGATCCCTAGAATCATGAGGGCGGTTAGGTCAAATGGCTGTGGCTTTTTTTCACCAGAAGAAACTAAGTTGAATGGTTACACATCACAAGGCCGACCAAGAAGAAGGTGAGAACACATTTCCGTTTGCAACTCTATGTTCTCAGTTACTTGTACTAGGACACTGCAGAAATTTGTTTGCAGAAATATATACTGTTCACTCCTGTTTTATATAAGCCAGTCAATGCCATTTAGTGTATTCTTCTTCTTCTTCTTCTTCTTCACTTCCTCTTTAACCGTTTCGGGGGAGACACACGGTTTTGCTTCTTGTACTACTGGCCGCTTCTACCATTGACACATTGTTCTGTTGTAGAGTTTCTCTGATGTTATCTTTCCATCTTGTTCTTGGTCTGCCTTGTGCCACACGTCGCTCTTCTCTTTTGGTGTATACCTTGTATGGTAGTGCCTCACAGGGCATTCTCTCGTATGGGCTCATACCTGATTGTGTCTCTTCAGGTCACTACTGCAGCTCTTCTCAGATAGCACGTCCATGGTTATTAATTTTGGTTCTTTATTAATATCCTACCCCCAGATGACGTCACAGGACAGCCCAACATTTTAGAGGGTGGCAAACTGGGTTTCCCGGGTTTCTGATGCTTTTAACGACCCCAAAACATCTAAAATGGCCCTAACCCAAACCCACCTACGTCCCATGAGAGAGTGCAGCCTAGGCCCCACGACTGCATGCAGCCTAGTCCCCACGACTGCATGCAGCCTAGGCCCCACGACTGCATGCAGCCTAGGCCCCACGACTGCATGCAGCCTAGGCCCCACGACTGCATGCAGCCTAGGCCCCACGACTACATGCAGCCTAGGCCCCACGACTACATGCAGCCTAGGCCCCACGACTGCATGCAGCCTAGGCCCAACGACTACATGCAGCCTATCTACCACCCGCCTGAAATACTAGACTGTCCTGTGACCTGTCGATTTCCCCTGTTTTTGGGTAGGATATTGAAAAAGCTCCCTAATTTTATCTTCAGGTTTGTTGTAAGAAACAATGTCATTTAGTTGATTCACTGAACATTTACTCCATTGTATCCATTTTAGTGAGCCCACCACCATCTAGTTCCAGATCGAGCCGCTCCAGCAGCTCCAGGACCGCTAGCAGTGGCTCCAGTAACCCAGTCACTCCCAACTCGTGTCAGTATTTCTTATCTTATCTCACATTTTCTCATCATATTATATCTTATAAAATCTCAGCCTATTTTATCTAATCTCATCTTAGTTTGTGTCATCCAATCTGGATTAATATTTTCTTATCTTATTTTATCTAATCTTGTCTTATCCCATCTACTTTTCTTACCTCATTTCATTTCGTCGTATCTAATCTTATATCAACTTATCGTATCTTATCTTGACGTATCTGATATGTCTACTCATCTTGTATGACTGAGATATGAATACTTAGTTTAGGAGTGGCTGCACTGTTTCCGAGTACTTGTTTCTATTAAATGCTCAATGCTTGTCTTACATCAGCTGACGTATCATTTATCGTCTGTGTTTCTTCTTCCTTCCTGTTCTTGTTCTTCTTCTTGTTGTTCCTGCTTTTCTGCTGGTTGTTGTTATGATTGTTGTTGTTGTTATGATTGTTGTTGTTATGATTGTTGTTGTTGTTATGATTGTTGTTGTTGTTATGATTGTTGTTGTTGTTATGATTGTTGTTGTTGTTATGATTGTTGTTGTTGTTATGATTGTTGTTGCTGTTATGATTGTTGTTGTTGTTGTTGTTATGATTGTTGTTGTTATGATTGTTGTTGTTGTTATGATTGTTGTCGTTGTTGTTGTTATGATTGTTGTTGTTGTTGTTGTTGTTATGATTGTTGTTGTTGTTATGATTGTTGTTGTTGTTATGATTGTTGTTGTTGTTATGATTGTTGTTGTTATGATTGTTGTTGTTGTTATGATTGTTGTTGTTGTTATGATTGTTGTTGTTGTTATGATTGTTGTTGTTGTTATGATTGTTGTTGTTGTTATAATTGTTGTTGTTGTTGTTGTTGTTATGATTGTCGTTGTTGTTATGATTGTTGTTGTTATGATTGTTGTTGTTGTTATGATTGTTGTTGTTGTTGTTATGATTGTTGTTGTTGTTGTTATGATTGTTGTTGTTGTGATTGTTGTTGTTGTTATGATTGTTGTTGTTGTTATGATTGTTGTTGTTGTTGTTATGATTGTTGTTGTTATGATTGTTGTTGTTGTTATGATTGTTGTCGTTGTTGTTGTTATGATTGTTGTTGTTTTTGTTATGATTGTTGTTGTTGTTATGATTGTTGTTGTTTTTGTTATGATTGTTGTTGTTGTTATGATTGTTGTTGTTGTTATGATTGTTGTTGTTGTTATGATTGTTGTTGTTGTTATGATTGTTGTTGTTATGATTGTTGTTGTTATGATTGTTGTTGTTGTTATGATTGTTGTTGTTATGATTGTTGTTGTTGTTATGAATGTTGTTGTTATGATTGTCGTTGTTGTTGTTATGATTGTTGTTGTTGTTGTTATGATTGTTGTTGTTATGATTGTTGTTGTTGTTATGATTGTTGTTGTTGTTATGATTGTTGTTGTTGTTGTTATGATTGTTGTTGTTGTTATGATTGTTGTTGTTGTTGTTGTTGTTATGATTGTTGTTGTTGTTATGATTGTTGTTGTTGTTATGATTGTTGTTGTTGTTATGATTGTTGTTGTTGTTATGATTGTTGTTGTTATGATTGTTGTTGTTGTTATGATTGTCGTTGTTGTTATGATTGTTGTTGTTGTTATGATTGTTGTTGTTATGATTGTTGTTGTTGTTATGATTGTTATTGTTTTTGTTATGATTGTTGTTGTTGTTATGATTGTTGTTGTTGTTATGATTGTTGTTGTTGTTATGATTGTTGTTGTTGTTATGATTGTTGTTGTTGTTATGATTGTTGTTGTTATGATTGTTGTTGTTGTTATGATTGTTGTTGTTATGATTGTCGTTGTTGTTGTTATGATTGTTGTTGTTGTTGTTATGATTGTTGTTGTTATGATTGTTGTTGTTGTTATGATTGTTGTTGTTGTTATGATTGTTGTTGTTGTTGTTATGATTGTTGTTGTTGTTATGATTGTTGTTGTTGTTATGATTGTTGTTGTTATGATTGTTGTTGTTGTTATGATTGTCGTTGTTGTTATGATTGTTGTTGTTGTTATGATTGTTGTTGTTATGATTGTTGTTATGATTGTTGTTGTTTTTGTTATGATTGTTGTTGTTGTTATGATTGTTGTTGTTGTTATGATTGTTGTTGTTGTTATGATTGTTGTTGTTGTTATGATTGTTGTTGTTGTTATGATTGTTGTTGTTGTTATGATTGTTGTTGTTGTTATGATTGTTGTTGTTGTTGTTATGATTGTTGTTGCTGTTATGGTTGTTGTTGTTATGATTGTTGTTGTTATGATTGTTGTTGTTATGATTGTTGTTGTTATGTTTGTTGTTGTTATGATTGTTGTTGTTATGATTGTTGTTGTTATGATTGTTGTTGTTATGATTGTTGTTGTTATGATTGTTGTTGTTGTTATGATTGTTGTTGTTGTTGTTTGTTATGATTGTTGTTGTTGTTTGTGATTGTTGTTTGTTATGATTGTTGTTGTTGTTATGTTGTTGTTGTTATGATTTGTTGTTGTTATGTTTGTTGTTGTTTGTGTTGTGTTGTTTGTTGTGATTGTTGTTGTTGTTATGATTGTTGTTGTTATGTTTGTTGTTGTTATGATTGTTGTTGTTATGATTGTTGTTGTTGTTATGATTGTTGTTGTTATGATTGTTGTTGTTATGATTGTTGTTGTTGTTATGATTGTTGTTGTTATGATTGTTGTTGTTATGATTGTTGTTGTTATGATTGTTGTTGTTATGATTGTTGTTGTTATGGTTGTTATGATTGTTGTTGTTATGATTGTTGTTGTTATGATTGTTGTTGTTATGATTGTTGTAGTTGTTATGATTGTTGTTGTTATGATTGTTGTTGTTATGATTGTTGTTGTTATGATTGTTGTTGTTATGATTGTTGTTGTTATGATTGTTGTTGTTATGATTGTTGTTGTTATGATTGTTGTTGTTATGATTGTTGTTGTTATGATTGTTGTAGTTGTTATGATTGTTGTTGTTATGATTGTTCTTGTTATGATTGTTGTTGTTGTTATGATTGTTGTTGTTATGATTGTTGTTGTTGTTATGATTGTTGTTGTTATGATTGTTGTTGTTGTTGCTGTTTTTCCTCTTCTTCTTCTTCTTCTTCTTCTTCATCTTTTTCTTCTTCTTCTTCTTCTTCTTCTTCTTCTTCTTCTTCTTCTTCTTCTTCTTCTTCTTCTTCTTCTTCTTCTTCTTCTTCTTTTCCTCCTTTTTGTTGTTCTTCTTCTTCTCCTTTTTCTTCTTCTTCTTTTTCGTCTCCTTTTTCTTCTTCTTCTTTTTCTTCTTCTTCTTCTTCTTCTTCTTCTTCTTCTTCTTCTTCTTCTTCTTCTTCTTCTTCTTCTTCTTCTTCTTCTTCTTCTTCTTCTTCTTCTTCTTCTTCTTCTTCTTCTTCTTCTTCTTCTTCTTCTTCTTGTTCTTCTTCTTCTTCTTCTTCTTCTTCTTATCTCCATTGTAATTACTTGCAGTATTTTTTTTAAACTCCCTAACTCATATTTTATCCACACCGCCTCATGTTTTCTGTTAGCTCACTATCCAGTGTCGAATTAAAAATCCTGTTAGTTCACATTAGGATAGCACAGTGTACAATATCTTTTTCCTTTTTAAAAAAAGTTTTTATCGGCTATAAATTTCAGCAGAAAATGCAGGCTGTTCGTCTGCTTCTGGACTGTAGTCTCGTTCCATAACTTGAATGTTGCGCGCACATTCGTTTTACATATATAGTTTACTTGTATGCAGACTCTTAGTTCATCGCCGCACAAGTAGATGTGTTCTGGCTTCAGAAGAAAGATCCCTAATTGGTCACCTCTTACAACATGCTTGTCATAGAGGCAATGGGTCTCTTTATCTGTCTCTCAGCATGGGAGCCTAGAACGCGACACGAGGACGTTTGTACAATAATAGATACGGTAACTGGTACATGTCACGAAAATCACCCCACCTAGTCAGGCGCGAGATTTCCCACAGGCTGACCTATGTTCTATGGGTATCATGTTTTGTTATTTCCAACGCTATTAGCAATCTATTTTCCACAGTGTGAGCTGACAGGACATTTTATTTTCCACGTTGTCAGGGGCCGGCACTGTGTTTGTTACTTGTGCGTTCGCTCTTCGTCGCTATCACTGCAGCTTTACTTGGTGACTTGACCCATGGCCCGCCCCAGAATGTCAACAATTCGCAAAACAGTCACGGTTGTACAAGAGCCCTTGTTGACACGGAAAAGAAAACTAGCTGAGCCCTGACTCGCTAGCGCGCAAGCTCCCGCACGCACACACACCTTCGCACACGCAGTTGCTCAGTGTCGCCTGCCCCGAAAAATAGCTCTACACTTTCTAGTCCGTCCTCGTACGAACAGGAGCCGCTTTTCTGCACGTGTGTGTAGACGGCCAAGTCGAAGGACCGTATATCCTAAAACCCCTACAACATAGGGCAGTCCGTGGGAACCCTCACAGCATTAATGGGAGCCGGCACGAAATCTCGCGCCTGTCGAGATGAGGTGATTTTCGTAATATGTACCCGGTAACAACTCTAGGTGATGACATCATAGAAACTCTGCTCTAACCATTCTATTGATAAATAAACATCCTAGTGTCCAGCCCAGTGTTTCTAAGTCCCCCAGCGTCTGCTCAATCCTCGGACATCGACTCGTTTGGCATGGAAGCATTTGGTCCCGTGCTGGTCAGTTCTACACAGGAGTTTCATGATATCCAGGTAGGACAACATTATCTGGCAGATATGACTGTCAATGTAATTTTTTCGTTTTGTTTGGTTTGGTAACCTGAGACATGTAACATAATAATAATAAGATCGACTTTATCGCCCTGGGTTATCCTGTATGACTCGGCCTCTCTCCGCAGAACGGCTAGCCACCTAACTGGATAGTCGCAAAAAGTACAAACTCTGTGGGTCCAGCGACGGTCCGAACATAAAAAGATAAAAAAATAAACCCATGACCTGAATAACGTCTCCGTAAAACGAACCCATGACCTTCAGAGCTCCAGGGAAACGGCTTGACCACTTCGCCACGGAGACACTTGACCCTACGTCTAGTTCTCCAGCTTGCCAGCTCCTTGAGTTCACGTAGACACGTCCGAGGTATCTCTTGTGTCTTCTGTCATTGTTCATGCTTGTTCACATGTATTGTTTATTCGAGGATTGACGCCTTCTAGGGGTGTTTTTCTTCGCCACCTAGACATTTCATGTGACCACAGTGATTCAGTTTCAGAAAATGATGCCGTTGAAAAGTCAAGTTTCTCCGATGTTCACACCTTGTAGGGTGTATTTTTCCCCCTGCTTTAGTCATGGTTTTCTGTGAATATCTCTGTCACGTCAGAACGTCAACAATAACATCAGCGTCAAAAACAACAACAGCAGCAGCAGTAACAACAACAACAGCAAAAACAACATCAACAGCAGCAACGACAACAGTAGCAGCAATAGTAACAAAGCAGCAACAACACCAACAACAATAACAACAACAACAGTTACAATAACAACAACATCAACAGAAACAACAACATCAGTAACAATAACAACAGCATCAGTGACAATAATAACAACAGTAGCAACAGCAAGAACAACAACAGTAACAATAAAACACACTGTCATGGCCTCATGTTCACCACAGTCGGTTATAGTACACTCGGTAGTTTAACACATCTTCTTCACGTTCACTGGCGGAAAGTTCTAGCTGTTCGTCCACCTCTAGACTTAAGTCTTCTTCCAGAAACTGAGTGCTTCGTGTCCATCCAGATCGGACTTTTACAGATCGGACTTATGTGTATGCAGATTTTTAGTTCCATGTCTCTCAGATACATTCCAACTTCGAAGGAAACCCCCAATTAGTCTACTCTTACGACATGCTTATGTGAAAAGCTGTGGGTCTATTCTTCTTTACCCCATAATGAGGCCACAGAACCCCCACGGGGACAATAGTCTTTTCAAAACACGTCAATGTGACCAAACATCGTCATAGTCATCATGCATCATTATTATAACTCAAATCGTCACATGTAATTTGCACCATCAAAATAATCCTCATTCCTAATCTTGTCATTCCCTTGTGGGATGCAATTTTAAGTTTGTTTGAAGCCCCACCCTGGCTTTTGCCGGCGGCCCTAAATATAGCCGGGCCTGAAATATGGCCTAACGGGGTTTCGGGGACCTCTACACGGGTGATCCCCATCCGCATGGTGGCACTTTGAATCACCGGCTGTTTATCGCTCGTGTGATGTCCTGGTGGGGTAAAAACTTACACACAGACTTAATCCCCATTCCCACCTGTGTGTGTGTTGTCCATCAAGATGATGATGACCACTCTGTTTTCATCAAGTATGAGAACGAAGATGGTTGATGAGGCCGATGTGGGCCTGAAAAGTTCTTGGACAGTGAGGACAGGGAATGAGCGTTGTACCAGGGAGAGGATCTCCTGCAGTCGCCTTTCTGTCCATCCTTTACTTAATCAGACTTGCTGTTCTGTTTGCTTCACATGTAGCCGCGCCCTTGTGTAGAGCGGTACGCCATGCATTTCAGTCTTGAGAGGCAGCCTTCCAATTGGTGTCATTCATCCCAAATACTTTGAGTGAAGACTTCAAGGTTTTCTTAAAGCGTTTGTTTTTGCCCACCTTAGGAACGTTTCCCATTTTGCAGCTCACCACAGAAGAGTTTTTTTGGGAGCCTGTGATCTGGCATGCGTTCCACATGACCAGCTCAACGGGTTCCCACCCGTACCACATAATTGTCACCACTGTCGTCAGCAACATCACCTTTTAGGCGCTCTTTTTTGTAGAACACAATGCATTGGTACAGTACTCATTACAAAGCGTCTACTTCAGTCAGTAGTGTTGAAAGGTGATGCCTAAGAAAAGGTGCCATGGCTGCGTCACACGATGAGTTGAGTCAAGAATTGACATCACAGCACTCAAGGCATTCCCATGTGTACTCTGTTCCGCTATGAAAAAAGCCTAACACACTGTCAACGCTATTACATACGTCATTACTGTTATCATAATCAATAGCACCACGACCACCGTCATCACCACAACCATCGTGACGACCTCATCATCGCTAAGTGTGTGACGACTACTACAACCACCACCTTAATCATTGTATCCAACACTAACACCCCAACATCAACCATCACCATCATCTCATTCTTCATCACTGACACTATCAAAATCAACATCATTATATTTGTAACTAAGAGCCGCGGTAGCGCAGTCGATAGAAGACTCGCTTTTAAATCCAGCTGTGACTCGCTGCAGCCCACGGCCGGTGTTCGAAACCGGAAGTTTATCGGGGTTCACCCAGCCTCTAGGAAATGGTACGTCGCTGTAGCTACGGTGTGTGGACGGCGACACAGGCGGACAGTTTTTTTTATCAGCTGTCCGTAATGGTGGCAGAGCACTTATGGTTTGTAACCGTGTGCAATGACGCTGGTTCACATCTCCCGACTTCACCTTTTACAGTTATATCTACAACTATGTCGTTACATGCTCAGGACTGCAGGTTGCGCCTGGGTGGTGTAGCTGTTACAAATACCATAAATAAAATTTATTAGGGGGTTGAACTGGGATCAACCTTGCTGGTCTGCCATCCAGACTGAGAAGCTTTCATTTATGTATGGTCAACTTTCAGATAGCAGCCCGAAAAGGCGGGGGTGGGGAAAAAATGGGGGGGGGGGGGGGGGGGGACTGATCGATCTACAATTATCACCACCATCATTAACCTAATAGTAATTATTATCAAGAAGCAACACTAACACTTATGTAACCTTTCGTCTATCACCAGGCGGGCTTCAACAGAGGCTTGTCACTTGGAACCGCTGACTTCAGCCTAGAAGACCTGGATCCATTAAACCACAAGTGAAGATCTCGAGGATTCTCTTCCCCACTGACTGCATGCAACCCTGTATCGACATATATCCAGCCACAGCCACCTGCAGAATCAAAGAATCACAACGGAGAGTCACTGTCGTCAAAATCACACGTTTCCATAAAAACCAAAAACAACCCTGTTTTTATCTCGCATAAGCATAAGCCATCAAACAACTTATGCCAAGAGGCCGTAATGTTTGCTGTCTCATGTATCTAGCTACATGCCTTCCAAAACCGTTCCTCTCTGTTGTCCTTTCGCATGTTTAATATATAGTTCTAACATTCAAAGTGCCAGTTCTTGAGCTTTTCCTGTGGATAAAACGAATTGTCAACCATGCAGGTTACTTTGCGACTTGACTCGGATCTCTTCAGGATTTTCCTAGCCGAAATGCTTCCCCTCATCCAGGTTGATGGGAAAAAAACGTTTTTTTTTTTTTTCTTTTCTTAGATTTGCTAATTGTTTGTCCTTGACATTCTTCTTCTCTTCGTCCTCCACCATCTTTTTCTTCTTCTCCTGCCCCTCTTCTTCGGACTTTGATGGAAACCTCAGCTACGTCCCAGGTAGTGAGCAACGTTCGAAGATGACCATGGGAAGAGGTAGTTCGGTCTCCACTAGTCTGACCCTAGTCGTGGTGCACTACCACGGGTGGTGATGCACATAGATAATGAGGCATAATTTACATTTCTTGACTGATACTTCTAGAAGTAAATGAAAGAAGCAACAGTAAAAGGATAAACGGGGTAATCCAGACACTTGACGGTCCTTGAAAAATCAACAGTCGCCAACAAACTGAGGCGGTCCCAAAAAAGAACCCACACAATATAGCGGTTTCGCTTCCTAGACCGTCTCATCCGTATGTCGATGTTTGTTGTTGTTCCTCGTTGTGCCAGTTACATGATTTCTGCAATAAAAATTGACAACATGTTATTCTGAACATGATTATGTTATTGTCCTAATTCCGTTGATATGGCAAAGCTCAAAGGTCGTCGGTGCAAATCTACATCGAGTCAGTTTTAAATTTTTTTTTTAAAAAATCATGGCTCTTAAGTTAACCCCCCTGGCCAAAATGGGTAAAGCCCAGGAAGTTGATGGCGGTTGGTGTGATATTGCCCACATCACATACCTAATGTCGATCCGTCTATAAACTATAGACCTAACACTATACACTCTCCTTCTTCTTCTTCTTCTTCGTCTTCTTCTTCTTCTTCTTCTTCTTCTTCTTCTTCTTCTTCTTCTTCTTCTTCTTCTTCTTCTTCTTCTTCTTCTTCTTCTTCTTCTTCTTCTTCTTCTTCTTCTTCTTCTTCTTCGTCTTCTTCTTCTTCTTCTTCTTCTTCTTCTTCTTCTTCTTCTTCTTCTTCTTCTTTGTTCTTCTTTGTAAGCTCCGGTGGAAAGTCCTTGTTGTTCGTCTGTTCGGAACTGTGGCTTTGTGCCAGGGCCTGAGTTGTGCGTGTACATTCGTTTTACTGACTTATTTGTGTGCAGTTGGTTGTTCCTTGCCGCTCGGGCAGATGTACTGCGACTTCGAAGGAAGCTCCTAATTAGTTGACTCTTACGTCATGCTTTTTTGGGAGGTAGTGGGTCTATTCTTGCTCCCCCTCCACAGACTATCTATTTATCTAATCTATCTATCTAATCTATCTATCTATCTATCTATCTATCTATCTATTTATCTATCTATCTATCTATCTATCTATCTATCTATCTATCTATCTATCTATCTATCTATCTATCTATCTATCTATCTATCTATCTATCTATCTATCTATCTATCTATCTATCTATCTATCTATCTATCTATCTATCTATCTATCTATCTATCTATCTATCTATCTATCTGTCTGTCTGTCTGTCTGTCTGTCTGTCTGTCTGTCTGTCTGTCTGTCTGTCTGTCTGTCTGTCTG